AAAGAACTTCTTAAGTATAGTTAGTTGTAGTAAAAAGTAAATCTCATTTATATTTAACGTCCAAGAAAATATGTCCCAATTCAACTTATCAATAAAAATTGGGTAACTTATTTAAAGGAACTTTTAGAATATTAACACCAACTCAACAAAAGGATAATCCATTAATAATATGATTATATTTATAAAAATCTTATTACTCATAAGGTAAATATTGATTAGAATAATTAATCATCGAAAATAAACAGTTTAATTAAAATAGCTTTAGTAACTAATAGACTTTAACTTATTATAAATAATGAAGATTATTAATAAAAAGGATAAGTTAGTTAATTGAGCATTTGATATTTTTAATTCGGTTTAGTTAAATTCATTATGCCAATATTCTTGGTTATTTTTACTGATTCAATAAAAATCCAGTTTTTCAAATCTAACATAGTAGTCATCTTAAAAAAGAATTACATTAATGGGTGGAGACTTATTCGTTAGCTTTAAGCATCATTTTCAAAAAGATTGTTATATTAGAGTAGTAATCAAATAAAAAGGATGGTGATCATGTCACAAGGTTAGTTCTAAAGTAAGTGTGTCAAAGGGTGATAGATAATAACAGTGATAAAACCTATTTGTTAAAAGTTAAATGAACTTTAATAACTTAATTTTAGTTAATTTATATTTAATAATTAATAGATATATAAAACAGAAAATTATTTTTAAAAATAAAAACAACTAGAAAATATAACTAAAAACTATTTTTATCAGATTGAAACAAAATGGGACAAGTTCCAAGTAAGAAAGGAATGAACAAAATATATGTAGGACCGAAAAGAAAACGACAACACATTGCAGAGGCAGTACGAAATGCACAACCCAATTCATATATATTTGTGGAGAGTGGGAAATATGAAGAAAGTGAGCCTATAGTTATAGACAAATCAGTGATTATTATTGGATTAGTAGAAGAAGGGGGGTCTAATGTAGTAGTTAAAACAGATTCATCGGCGTGTGTATTAATGTCAACAGCGGAAAAAGTAGTGATAGAAAATATTGATTTTACGACATCAGCTAGTATGAAACCAGTTATTGACGTACAACAAGGAGAAATAATATTAGAAGGATGTGGGATTTGTAATGGAGAAGAAGGAATAATTATGTCACCACATAGTTCATCAATAACTATGATCAAATGTAATATTACACAATGTAGTAAAGTTGGGATTGCATGTAATGGAGAAGAAACAAGTATATTAATAGATAAAAGTACATTTAGAGATTGTGGAACAGGAATTTCTATTTCACAAGGATCTAATCCATTAATAAGTGAAAGTTTAATTTCACAATGTGGAACAGGAGTATATGTTACAGAAAATGGAAGAGGATGTATTATAGATTGTACAATATCATTAAATAAGAAACCAGGAATATTAACACATAGTGGAGGGAATCCAGTAATAATAAATACGAAAGTTATAGATGGAACATCAAATGGATTATTTGTTAAAAATAAAGGAAAAGGAGTAATGATAGATTGTGAGATTTCTAAAAATTATCTTCCAGGGATTGCATCATGTGAAGAAGGAAATCCATGTATTGTTCATAGTAATATTAAAGAAGGAAAAAATGCAGGAGTGTTTGTATATGAAAATGGAAAAGGATTATTTGCATCATGTACAATGAAAGAAAATACAATGCCAGGAATTGAAGTAAGAGGAAGTGGAAATCCAATTGTTGTAGATTCAGATATTTCAAGAGGACAATCAAATGGAATATATTTACATAATAAAGCAGATGGAATATTTGTAAGAACATCGGTTACAGAAAATGCATTACCAGGAATGGCAATTAGAACAGGAGCAAATCCACTTGTATATGATTGTAATCTTGTTGCAGGAAAAGATTATGCATTATTTGTAAGTGATAAAGGACAAGGAGTTATTGTAAATTCTACAATTGAAGGATGTTCAGCACAACCAGTAGGAACACAAGAAGGAAATTGTACAATTCATGGAGGAAAAATAATTGATGGAAAAAAGAATAATGTTCAAGAATGGTTAGAAAAAATACCAGAAGGACTTGGTTTGTTAGCAGAAGATATTCCAGATTTTAATCTTGTTCAATAAACAATAATTAATTTGTGTTATTTGGTTTTTTTTTTTTAATAAGAAAAATAAATAATAATATCTATATTTAAATAATTAAAGATAAAAAGAAAAACAATAAAATATATATATAAAAAAAAAAGATAAAAAAAAAAATAAAGGAAAGGAAAAGAGATAAAGGAGAAAAACAGAAAAAATAGAAAAAAATCAAAAAGACCAAAAATAGAAGAAGGTAAAGAAGATTTTGAGATGGAACTAAAAGAAACACAAGAAAATGGAAGGAACAGATAAGGTATTAAATACACCTAGAGATATTACAGAAGAAGAAAAAGAGAAAAGAGAACAAAAGAATAAAAGATGGATTATTGTACAACAACAAGCATTCACACATTGGGTGAATGAAACAGTTCAACAACGAGGAATGACAGTTAAAGATATAAGTACAGACTTTAAAACAGGAATTGTATTAATTAATTTCTTTGAAATAATTTCTAAGAAAATCTTAAGAGAAAGATATAATCATGCACCAAAGAATAGAATTCAATGTATTAATAATTTACATTGTGCATTAACATTTATGGAAAGAGATATGTTAGTTAAAAATCCAGGATGTTCAGCAGAAGATATTATTGATGCGGAGAAATATGGAAATAAATTAATATTAGGATTATTATATACATTATATAGAATTTATCGTATGAATCCAGTTGATTTAGTTGGAACAGAAAATGGAAAACCATTAAGAGAAGAAGATGCACTTTTAGCATGGGTTAGACAAACAACAGAAGGATATCCAGGAGTTAATATAAGTAGTTTTAAACAATCATTTAATGATGGAAAAGCTATATTAGCATTATGTCATGCATATACAAGATTAACAGGAGAGAATGGATTTGAATATGAAGAAATAGCAAATAAAACAGCAGAAGAAGTATTAGAATATGGATTTGAATTTGCACAAAAAAAGATGGGAATTGATAGATTACTTGAAGTAGAAGAAGTAAAAGAAGGAGATATGA